TTTTGGATTAATATTCAATATATATAAAATTATATTAATATTATATTCATTATATATTAAATATTAAAAATTATTAATTATATATTAATATAATTAATCATTAGAAAAATTAAATTTTATATTATATAAAATTTTTAAAATTTGTGATTAAAAGAAATGTTTTAATATAAAATACGAATTTCGCGCCTTGAGTTTGCAGTTTTGTAATCTGGTCTTTCTATTGGTGCTTTTCTTTGCCGACGACATTTTACCCCCACTATGAATCGAATGCTGTTCTGAAACTCTGCGACTGCTCGTTGCTCAGTAGCTGAGTACTAATCTTCTAGTCGGAGAGAACGTTTCGTGAATTTTGCTTACGATTTTACCGGTTTTTTACACTTTTAGATAAAAAGTGTTAGTGGTAATTCTGAAATTTTTTATTTACAATTCTTCAGCTGAACAAGCTGATTATAGAATTCACTAGCAGTGGAAACACCCATCGAAGACAACTTTATTGACGAGTTACGGTTAGTAATAATAGCTAGACTGATGATACTGCATAGTTTTCTTTTTTTATATACTATATTACCACGATATTTTAAGAATTTTTTAATATTTCAGTTAATTGGTGTTTTTTATTTAGATAATTTTTGAATTTTGTTACAATTATTGTATATGTTCGAATTATTAATTTTTTTTTCATGATATATCAATATAAAAAATGAAAGAGAAATGATATGAATTGCAATTATCAATCAAAATTCATATTTACTATATATATTTATTCAGAATATTATAAATACTTTTGACTTTCTTATGCAAGAAGAAAATGAGAAGCCAAACAATTCGTCATTAATGGTTTACTTGATATTAAATCGATTTTGTTATAAATTTATTAACTTTTAAATTAGATATTTAATATTTAATGTATAGTACAAAAGATATATATATATATATATATATATATATATATATTCATGTTACATTTTTTTCAAAAAATCTAACAATAATATATTTGATATGATGACATAAAAATTAATTTACGAAATATTTTATTACTTATTTAATTGCAATTTTTATATTTATTCCAAAGTGTAGAAAACATCGCGTTACCGTCTTGAACTACTTATTTTATTTATTGATTTCTTAATGTCATACGTATGCGCGGTCTATTTAATACATATATGAAATTTTGCAAATACATATTTTCTATTTGTTAAATTAATAAAATCAAATAGTTTATATCATTAAAAATGATAAGCATTTTGAAAAGATATGTTTTTGAAACTTTTTTTACCGGCGTTAACAGCTGAGCGTCATTGATGAAAAACATCCGAGTATATGTATATATGATAAGAGGGCGCTGGCGCGCGCATGCACATATATACATGAATGTATGTGCGAGAAGGACAAGAGAGCATGTATGACGTCAGAATATTAGTATTTTATTTTTAATCTTCAATCTAAGATGGGATACGTAATATAATGATACATTTATGAATCATAAAATGCAAAAATATTCAATTTCTTTCCTTTTCTATGATTATTATTTTATTTAATATTGTTTAACTTTTAAATAAAATTAATAATTTTATTGTGTAATATAAATTACACAAATATAAATTAAATTTTATATTATTATAATCTATAAAAAATTACAAATATTGTAATACAATACATATATTAAATGTCGTAGAAAAAATTAATAATTATCCAATAACACAATTGAATTTTAACATTAAAGATTTGAGAACATATATCGTATAATTCATATATTCGTATATTTTAAATAAAATTTTTTTTTTAATTTGTTATTATGAATTAACTTATTCATTTTTTTATAAATATTAATCGCTTGATATGACTTTACAACATTCGTTTGTATAATTAAAACATTAATTATGATTTACATTTGAGGAATATCAAATCTCAAACCACTAACTATTCTAAATAGGAAGATATGCGTCAAAACGTGCATCGAAACATTCAAACAATGCGCAGTTTGTATATATTCATGTACCTGTATGCATGCAAATTGAAGTATACATCGTGATATGACCGCATTATTTTGCCGGCACCCGGCACATTGGGCTGCGCGATCGACATTTCCTTCAAAGCATATATATCTTTCCACGTGATCACAGGATCGTCTTTGTCATTATACACGATATCAATCTTGATATGTATTTTTTGCTATTGAAAATAGCAAATGCTTTTGTATTGGATACTCTATCGAAGAATCTAGAATTACGACATAAGTTGCAACGAATTGTAATTTCGTCGCAAAATTTACGCTATTATTTCGATTATCAATATTTTAATCATTCAATATGTGATTTAAATTTATTCATTATTAGAAAATTAAACAGCAAATATTTGGATAAATATCAAAAAAAAAAAAAAAAAACCGTATATATAAATCGAATAATTTGTAACCAATGGGAAGGTTTTTAATCAAGAATCTGATTCACGTTTCGTTATGCGAATCAATACTATAAAAAAGTCTGTTTCGCAACAACGCTCAAAAGTATCATTGATGCTGATCGAACGTTCGTTGAATGCACGAATGTTCGAATGTTCGAGAAACATTTCTTTAGAGGTCTCGTATTGATTTCTAAACACGATTTCCTCCGAATATTCTTCATTTTTCTCTCTTATCGAACACCAATATCTGTTTGTTTGCAATTTGAGAGGGTATACAAGCGGCGTCCTCCAGGTCTAACTGTGTAGTCGCCCGTGATCTTGGCGAGGTGCACCGTGACCAGGAGAAACGACGCGATACCTTTCGCCCTGGAAACGAGCCAACTTCGTCTCGAGGGCAAGGACAAGCTCAGTCAATTGATCACGCCATAATTTGTGCGAAACGTTTATAGAACCTAGTTTAATTTTAACACACGTTTTATTATCTCTTTACGAATGAACAAATTCTCCTGAAAGATGATATATTCGTGGCGCATGTCTCGTATCTTTCTCTCTCAACGGATATCTATGCTTCTCTGTTCATTACACTTTGTCAGCAATTAAATTTACAAGTGCCAATTACCAGGCTCTCACACTGTCTTAATGCATTAACAAGGTGTCCCGTGCGCTTTGAATTTGTTCGCGAATTTTCTTCTTGAATCTTTTCTGAAGAGATAAGACCAACGTGATGCAATAAAATAAATTCGATATCATCATTTTCGAATCAATTATAAATACAATCTTACGAAAAACTATAATTTTAATCGAACATTTAGAAAACTAAAATAATAATAAAAAGAGAACAGATAAATGTATATCGATTGATTGATATCGCATCCGATCGCTGCAACTTTTGACAAAAATTCGATATTGTTCGCACGATAAAAATCTTTTCATCGGCCGCTGAAATTTCTACTTACGATAACACGGAAATCCCCCGAGAGATTGTCGAAAAAAAAAAAAAGAAAAAAAAAGACGATATTTATAGAAATGCATCAAGGCGGATGCGTTGGTGTGCAACCTTTTCAACGGTGTTTCTCAACCTACATACGTTGCAGGAGATCCCAGCTGATCGGTTCTCGTGGTGCTGTGAGGATTGAAAAAGTGGTGGGTGGTCCGTTGAGGCGGTTGGTGTGCGCGGAAGGGGTCGGTTATGGGAGGGTTGGAAATACAGGAAGCACAAAGCACGGCGAGAGAGAGAGAGAGAGAGAGAGAGAGAGAGAGAGAGAGAGAGAGAGAGAGAGAGAGAGAGAGAGAAGGCGCGGTCATGTGCGTCTGCGCGCGATTCGGTCGGTGGGTCGGTCGGTCGGTCGGTCGGTCGGTCGTCGGGTATTGATTTTCGTAGGAGCACCGGCATACACGTAACTCCACCACGTAAACGCGTATACATGCATCCACGACGACTGACTGGCTGGCAGCTTTTGCCAAATATCTGCGTAAAATTTCGCAATCGCAGATTCTCGACACGCTAAATCGACTCATTCCTGTGTTACGCCTTCGAGAGAATAATACACTTTGCCGTTACTCTCTCATTGATCAAGTACAGATTCTTTATTAGCGTTCCCTGTGCACCTCGTTTTCGAAAGTACGTCATACGCGATTTATTCTATATATTTTTTTTTTCTCTGTTTTTCTCGAGAATTTTAATGCATATGTACATTTGCTGGGTATTTGATTTTCTCGGTCCAGCATGTACGCTAAATGAAACGTAAATGAATAATCGTGATAAATAATTCGATAGAAACTGTTTTAAATTTCCTCGTTTATCTTCTGCCTTGTTATTCGTTTAAGATAATGGATATAAACTAGATATAAACTAGATGGATGATTCTAAAGATTTAGAATCTACGAAAACAACTTGTAATTTATCTTTTATCCTTTAATGTTGCAGAACAGTCGAGTCTCCATACAAGGAGGTGCGCGAGCTGCAGAGTGAACGAAGAAGCGCGATCATAGAAGAAAGCTAATCGTCAGGCACTCAACAAGATGCCTGCTCCAACATCAGCACCGGGTACGGTGGAGGGCCCACCTCGCACTGAATTGCAGGAATTACAACTAAAGGCCGATCAAACTACAGATGAGGTATGTCTATTAATATCAATATTTGATAAAATTTTCCGACAATTCTTTAATAACGTGTTATTTAATTTATAATCATATCGATTAAATATTTCGAATTTTTTCGTTTATGCGTGGAAAAACTCGTGTAATTTGTTAAAATATTTTTGATATTTTTAACGATGCGTTGCTTAACCCACGTAATTCATTCTGTTTCAGTCCCTGGAAAGTACGAGGCGTATGCTGGCATTATGCGAGGAGGTGAGTTCATCTCATCCCTATGAAACTATTCTCTTCTATTTACGCATTAACCTTCATCCTCGATCATCCTCGGTACTAATCCTCGATCCTCGTTACTTATAGCGATTTATTCCCGGAGTTCTTACTCCCAGATTTTGTCTCATAAAATATTATAGAAGTTTAATATCGCTGGTAAAAATCGTTGCGTGTTGCATCACGGCAAAGATGGGCGTCATAGTCGATCCTCGGTGCAGTTGAAGAAACAAAGTAAAAAAAAAAAAAAAAAAAAAAGAAAAAAAGCCAAAAAAAAAAAAAAAAAAAAAAAAAAAAAAAAAGATATAATGACATAAAAAAATGGAACGCGCTGGAGAGAGACGGGCATAATACTATTTCAGTCAGATTAGAAACTTTGAAATCGTGTACATGTATATCTAAGTATATGTATATACCTGTACGAGAGAAAATGAAGTGGCGTTTTATGCAAATTACAATAGAATGAACACAAGAAGATATTTCAACGTGTGATGAAAACAGTCAGATTTATGTGGCGTTACATACAATCGTGAAATAGTATTTGACCCAGCTCCGGCGCCAGAAATATTCTTCGTTCCTATAATACTTATCAATGTGTATATTTTGAACAATATATACAGTCAACGGAAGTTGAAATGATCCATCCATATCCATCGAGGTATTATGTTGTTTGACGCGAATTTTTTTCTGATGAAAGCAAAAAAAAAAAAAAAAAAAAGAGACATTTTCCTCTTAAAGAAAAAGGGGAGTAAAAACAGTATCGCACGGGTGCCAAGCAATATCTATATGTTTTATATATTATTATATGTGAATATACTCGGAAGAATTGTAAGACGACGCATCGACGCGGTTCGAGACGGTAATCCGCAGCACGAATGCACGCGATGATATCAATGTTACATCACTGTATTTATTTCGTGTTAATTTTGTCTAAAATTAACTATTTCATCACACGGGAAACATGTCTGTTTAAAGAATCACAAGTGAAAATATAAAATTATGAAAATGATAATATATATACATATACATTGTTCTAAATGGAACGCGTGCGTTCGTGTGCGCGTTTTTTCGTGTACTCTTGTCTACGTTCTTCAGCTCCGCATTTTTCTTCCCATGCATAATTATTATTCGTTGTCTATGCTCGTATCTTGGATATCTATTCTCGATATATGTACGTCTCTAAGTGTGTGCGAAACTATTACTATTACTGTGTATATCCGATGTCTTCATTCTTTTCCTATTTAACTTGTTATTAATTGTCGAAGGAGCGAACGCAATCTATAATCCTGATAGACCCTAATCTTGTGCTTTTATAAATAAATAAATAAATATTTTTTTCTTTTTTATATTTTACAATCTATGTGTTTTAGAATGTGATATCAAATGTTTCTCTACATCACGCGGAATTTAAATTTAAATTCAAATTTATCCGAGTGATCGTTTAAAGTAATTAGAATTGCAACGAAGATTAAAAGGTAAGAGGTTGCGTCGCTCCATTCCAGTTTCTTTTGCTACTTATCTGTGGCTGCACTAATTAGCACGTGTCGCATTTCGAGCACTGGAGACTTCAACAACTATTTAATGTACGTACATACTTCACACGCGAGATATCATTGAAAGAAACTTGCCCATATTTAAATATACGTATACACAGGGTGTCTCAAAATTGATGACGCAAGCAGACAAAAGTTAATTCGATGTAATAAATCTCTTACCGGCTTGTGTCCTCCATTCTGGAACATCTTGTATATATCATATATTTATATATGAACGAATAATTGCTGTCAAATCGATATTAGTTATTCGAAATATTCGAAGCTTGGAGAGGAATCGAATGTACGAACCTGAACAGTGGGGGCAGTCGCAAGTACGTTGAATGAAAATAATTAGGGAAAACGAGAAAAAAAAAAAAAAAAAAAAAAAAAAAAAAAAAAAAAA